CTATTTAATCACGAAAGATGAGACCGACCAGATTAGTACTGCCTTGTTGATGGCAAAAACAAAAGTCGCACCGCTCAAACACGTCACCATCCCTCGACTGGAGCTCTCGGCTGCAGCGCTACTCACGCGTATTGTCAAACGGATCCGTAAGGTTCTAAAAATGGAGGAAGCTCCGATACATCTGTGGACGGATTCCGCGGTCGCTCTTGCGTGGATCCGCAGCCACCCTTCTCGCTGGAAGGAATTCGTGCATAATCGCGTGTCCGAAATTCAAACGTCGCTGCCAGACGCCATATGGCACCATGTTCCGGGTACTCAAAATCCAGCGGACTTGGCTTCGCGAGGCACGACGCCTCAACATCTCGTCAGCGATACACTCTGGTGGTCGGGACCCCCGTGGTTGCGTTGCCCGTCCCCCGCGTGGCCTTCAGAAAAATTAACTCCGGATGACCGGATCGACGTCGAGATGCGAAAATCTCGCGTTCAAGCCTCCCTCTTCGGAACCACCGAGTCATGGATGGACACCCCAAAGCGCTACTCCTCGTTATCGCGTCTGTGTCGCGTAACTGCGTGGTGTTTCAGAGCGGTTGTCAAATTTCGGTCACGGTCTGCACCATCACCAACCCCGCTCACGCCCTCCGTCTCGGAGCTAGATCGCGCGCGTTTATATTGGGTGAAAGAAACTCAGAAGGAGCATTTTCAGGATGAACTCTCCGCGCTCGTGTCGGGAACTACCGTCTCGAAAAAAGCAGTCTCTACAATCTTATGCCGTACATAGACGAGAAGGGACATTTACGAATCGGTGGTCGGTTGCGTCACTCGCTGTTGCATACCGATCAGAAACACCCGCTTATTCTCCCGCGCTCATCTCCTCTTACGTCTCTCGTCATTGATCACGCTCACAAAAACTCACTTCACGCTGGGCCCCAACTAACGTTAGCCACGATCCGACAATCGTACTGGATCATCGACGGTCGTTGCCCTATTCGCGTGTTTATCAACCAGCTCCCAGCGCGTCACGTTACCCCCTCCAGGGCCTTTTTGCATTCCGGAGTGGACTACGCGGGTCCCTTCAGTGTAAGAACAATCCGCGGCCGGTGGGGAAAGATTCACAAAGCATATATCGCGGTCTTCATCTGCCTTGCTACCGGAGCGGTCCATCTCGAGCTCGTATCCGACTATTCTGCGGAGGCGTTTATCGCAGCCTATAAGCGATTCAGCGGGCGTCGCGGAATACCCGCTACGATCACTAGCGACTGCGGAACCAATTTAGTCGGCGCCGACAAAGAGCTCCGCACCATGCTCACGAAAGCGTCTCGCGATCCGGTCGGGATTGCGACAACACTTGCCAACGACGGCACCGACTGGAGGTTTAACCCCCCTTCCGCGTCTCACTTCGGGGGGAAATGGGCAGCCGCCGTCAAATCTATAAAATTTCATCTTCGTCGTGTGGTGAGGGATACGGCCCTCACCTTCGAAGAATTTGCAACTCTTCTGACGCAGATCGAGGCTGTTCTTAATTCGCGACCTCTCTGCCCCTTAACAGACGATCCGTCCGATCTCAGCGCCTTAACGCCTGGGCACTTCCTCACCGGGGACGCGCTAAGGGTTGTTCCTAAACCAGACTTGTCCCTCGTCAAGACGTCACGCCTTTCGCGGTGGCAACTGTTAAAACAGTTCACGGAGAACATCTGGGATCGGTGGTCACGGGAGTATCTAACCTCCCTGCAGACAGCCTCAAAATGGCAGGCCCCACGTAACGGAGTCCAACTCGGAAACGTTGTCCTCATAAAGGACGAACGCACTCCTGCTTCAAAATGGCCACTCGCCCGCGTCACACAGCTGCACCCAGGGCGTGACAACCTAACTCGCGTCGTAACCCTGCGCACCGCGTCCACCACGTCCACCACGTTAACGCGGCCAATTACGAAGTTATGCGTCTTGGCCATTGACGCTACGGACCTCAGCACTCAGGTATCTGATCACGTCACAGACAATCGCGACGGGTAAGTGCATCTTGCCAACGTACGGTCACGTCGGTAAGGCCCGGCAGGAATGTTGCGGCACAGCGGGCCGTTTACCGTTCCTAATCCACGACGAACCCCCCCTTGACAATGTATCCAACGACGTCAGAGTGACGTCACCAGGCTTGCGTTATAGTATATCTCCAGCTGATCAGGCGCGACCGATTTAGAGAGGTATTTAAGATAAGAGGCCTTCAGTTGCGCACTATACAATTGCGCACTATCTCATTGCGCACAGCTCCTTTGGGCACAGTATTATTGTGCACAGTAAGAATTGGACACAGCTCTATTGCCCACGTGCAGAATATCACACAGTACAGTTGGACACCGAAAAAATTGCGCATAGTATCAATTGGACACTGAATTAAATTTGTGCGCCCATTTCCCTTCTTATGTCGTGATTTTATCTATGGATAGATATATCTATGGAATATTAATATATAAACTATCCTAACCTGAATTGCACGTATAAATAAAACATGAATACAGGACATCACCAAATTCAGGAACTGTTATTTCACAAACCGACAACAGTCCTAGTTAGAATAGCAGACAACCCTGTGGTACACAATAATTTCATAAAAATTAATCTTTCTATTATTAACATTTTGAATTTATTATAAATCCCTGATTACGAACTATTCTTAATATAGATACAACATTTGGTAAGCCTAAAACAGCTCCCATTTAAGATGGGTGCTGGGAGTAGAAAGATCTGTGCCAGGGTATATGGTAAGAGAGGAATTACAGAGGGAGTTATTAGTAGGAAGGGGTGGTATGAGGGCGTGGAAGAGAGGAAATTGAGTGAAGGTAAAGGTGGATACCTAGCAAGGAAGTGCTGGATGGAGGTAAGAGAAAGAGCAAAGAAAGGTAGGACGTTAGAGGGATGGGAGGAGGAGAGGAGAAAGTTCTATGAGAGAAAAGGGTGAAGTATAGAGGAAGTAGAGGAGATGAGAGAAGAAGGGCGGTTGAGGGGGGGAAGGTACAATTGGAATCGAGGTACAATTGGTGGTATAAGATAGTAAAAGGAGAAGGTGTGTCAGGGTACCTGAGTAAAAATTGGCAGGAAAGAAGGTGGCAATTGATAGCGGGATATAGGTTAGGGAGTAGAATGAAAGGGGGAAGGTATTGGGAAGAGGAGGATAGAAGGAGTTGTAGGATTTGTGGGAGAGGGGTAGAGTCCTGGGAGCATATATGGGAGGAATGTACAGACTGGGGTAGAGATAAAGGTTGGCAGGAAATGGTGGCAAAGGTGTTACGGGAAGAAGGAGAAGGGGAGGTATGGATGAGGAGAGTGGAAGAGATGAGAGAAAGAGCGAGCAGCGAAAACGGGGGTCCAGAGATGAATGTGTGAGGAATGAATGAATTGTGTGCTCTCTCTCTCTCAATAGAGATTTAGAGGTAGGAAACACCGTATGGGAAGGTGGAGTTTGTAAGCGGAGCGGCGGTCCGCGTTTGTACCCCGCAATGGGAATAAAATATATTATTATTATTATTAATTTCTAAATTATTTAATAAATTCAATTAACAGAATTATAGTTTTACAATTTTGTTTAACCAGATGATAATCGAATCTAGATTTTCAAGCCGCGTTTATAAAAATTACTAATCACTAATTTAATATTTTCCTTTGTATTTCTCATTTAGGGCGAATTTCATTTGTAAATTAATAATTTGATTTTCTTTTTGTATTTCAATTGTGACCCGCTTCGGGGGTTCACTCTATACAGCTCCACAATCTTTTCTGACTCGCTCTAATCGTTTACAACCGTTGGGCGCCAGCCACGTTTCGTGGCGATCTAAATCGAAAAGGAAAAGGGGGGTGTTGCGGCGCAGTGGTCATGGGGCCATCAGGTATATTTTTGATTGTTTTTTTTTTCTCTTCAAACAAGCAATAGTTGCCTTCTGCAGCTGTGTGCCATATGCAATCATCGCCTAAAACTTTCTTTAGTTTACCATGTTTTTCGAATTCCTGCTGGGTTTATGGTTTTATTGTTGTCGAACCGTTGGGTGGACAGGCGATGTCATATTTCTTGGCTCAGGTCAGACTCGACCTGAGAACGAGCGTTTGGCAGGGGCGGTTCTTGACCACTTCCCTGAATTTTCTTTTAACCAATCAAAATTTGTGACTCTAGCAAATTCGCTTGTCCACCCCTGCGACATGTCAATCCCCACCAGACACTCAAAATTTTCTTCGTGAACGTTTCTTCTTGTACGTAAGCTTTTTAGTTGTCAACTCTCGACAAGTACAATTCGGAGAGTCTGTTACCGTTCACGAGGTGTTTGAAATTTATACAAGGACAAATATTTGTCCTTTAATAAACAAGATATATTAATCCTTTATCAGTTGTTCTGTTATTCTTTTTGAACGAGTGGTTTCACTGATCCACACCCAAACTAGCTCGCGTTTGCATTAAGTTGAAGCGCGAAGCACATACATATTTTTTGGTCCTTCGAGCCGGATATCAATGACAAGATACATCCACTGTGCAACGAAGCAACTGATATCGAGGATTCAGTTTTTGAGGGAAAGGATTTTTTACAACAAATCAATATCTACCTCATTCCTGGAGCATTCAGCCACACTTCATCGTCACGGAACAATCGACAACGAAAACACAGCCTGTGAGGGAGAGGACTTTTACAACGTTGGACACTTAATCCGTTTGAGGCATCAAAACGGACATCAAGTTTTAGTGCACGTATACTTGATCAACGCCTGATTCAGCAATTCAATATCATCCTCATTCCGGAACACTGAGCTGCATCTGATCCTGAATACATCATTCTGAGGGTCATCTTCAAAACTTTCATCGGTGCTTCATTCCGAAGGCAACAACAACCAACAAATTCATTCACGACACTGTGCTTATAACAGGACTGGTTGGAAAGTCATCTTGGTAAGCTCTTGAATCGCCTATTTTACATTCCTTCTTTAACCGCGTCAAAAATCCTATTTTTGTATATTGCTCAATTATGGCCGAACAAGTGAAAGGTTTAAAAAGGCAATGCGCTTCGATTAAGTCTCAAACAACTCGTATTAGAAATTCGCTTAACGAATCGTTAGATACAGCCGCGTTGAAAGTACGGAAAACAAAACTCGAAGAGTTGTATAACGCGTTTCAGGAGACACATTTCAAATTGGAAGCGGTTGACGAAACAGGCGATTACGAGTCAAATCTAGTTGAATTCGAGGATTCATACTATGCGGGCGCGGAATTGGTTGAACGACTATTATCTACACGTGACAGGTGCGCGAGCGTAAATTCAAAGTCTAATAAGGGTCAGGTAAATGGAAATACAAGGCTACCTCGTATAGAGTTGCCTATTTTTAATGGAAATCTCCTTGAATGGCAAAGTTTCTATGATTCATTCAAATCTATGGTACACGACAACGAGGATATACTAGGCGTTCAAAGGTTTCATTACCTGAAACGGTCGTTACGCGGAGAAATAGCTAGCGTCATCGATACCCTCAACGCGTCGCACGAAAACTACCTGGTCGCATGGGCATTGTTAGAAAAACGATGTAATCAACCGCGCAACATCATACAAATGCATTTGAAAACTTTATTTGAATTGCCGACTATGTCAAAAGAATGTCCTGTCGCACTACGATCCTTGATCACAGCCACGGAAAAACACACTAACGCGTTAAAGGCATTAAAGGTACCAATAGAGTCGTGGAACGAAATTTTAATATACATAATTACAACGAAATTAGACAAAGAAACGCGTCGTCAATGGTACCGTAGTGTGGATGATGATGCCATGCCGACCTTGATGGAATTTTTAGAATTTTTATCAAAATTTGCTCGCGATGATGCAATAACGAACATAAATTCACGCGAGATCACAAAAACACAAACTCCATCCGTCAATCGTCAGTTTCCGAAACGTTCTGAAAAGCGTCAAAATTACGTAGCAACACAATCAAAAATCGTGTGTGCATATTGCAAAAAGGATCATTATATACAAACGTGTGATCAATTTTTGAAACTTTCTGTGGAGGATAGAATTCAAGGCGCACTATCAGCTAAAGTGTGCATCAATTGTCTACGACAGGGTCACGCGTATAATAATTGTTATTTTAGTAAGTGCAAAAAATGTCATAGCAAACACAATACTTTATTACATCGCGATTTCGACCCAAATAAGGATTCATCGGCAGTAGTACCGTCTACTTCAGACAGCTATAGTGTCGTCTACGTCAAATAATACGGAATCTACACCGGTATCACTGTCCGGACGCGTACCGTCCGAGGTTTTATTGTCGACAGCACTTATTTCAATTCGTGATTGTCAAGGAAAATATCAGTCGTGCAGAGTTTTACTCGATTCTGCATCACAAATTAATCTTATTACAGAAGAGCTTGCATCTCGATTAAATCTACACAAAACAAAGGTAAATATTCCATTGTCTGGTTTTGATAATTTATCAACTCGCATAAAATATTTTATAAAGACAAATATTAAGTCGAGAAATTCCAACTACAGTTCTAATTTAATATTTTATGCGATACCACAAATTTCGTCATTTTTGCCCTCTCAACGAATTGACCATTCACACATGGAAATACCTCGCAACATCCCATTAGCTGATCCACAATATCAAATTCCAGCTAAAATAGACGTTTTATTAGGGGCAGAAGTATTCTACAAATTATTGTGTGTAGGTCAGATTCGTTTGGCATCTTCGTCATTGACGTTGCAAAAAACTGTATTAGGTTGGATAATTGCTGGTTCGATCAATTCAACGTCGGTAAAAACTCCGAAATGTCACGTTTCCACTACATCAATAGACGATCAATTACTAAAGTTTTGGGAAATTGAGGAGTGTTTTGTTAGTAAACATTTGTCAGAAGAAGAACAATTGTGTGAAGCTCATTTCAAGCAGCACGTCCGACGTGATGCATCTGGACGATATATCGTTAGGTTGCCTTTTAATAACAAAATATCCGAATTAGGAGAGTCATATAGCCTCGCATTAAGACGATTTTATTCTTTAGAAAAACGTTTGGATAAAGATGCTACGTTAAAGGCTGAATACGCGAAATTTTTAGAGGAATATCAAACGTTAGATCATATGACTGATATTTCTGGAACAAATTGCATTGAGCATGGATATTATTTACCGCACCATGCAGTGCTCAAACAATCAAGTACTACAACAAAATTAAGAGTTGTTTTCGACGCCTCCACGAAAACAAGTAACAGTTTGTCACTCAATGATACATTATTAGTAGGACCTACAATACAAGATGATATTTTTACGTTGATAGTCCGATTTCGCTCATATAATTATGTACTCACTGCAGATGTTGAAAAGATGTATCGACAAGTTCGAGTGCATCAAAATGATGCGGTATATCAAAAAATTCTTTGGCGAGAATCTCATGAACAACCAATACGGGTATACAGATTAGACACTGTAACTTACGGTACGGCCTCCGCGCCGTTTCTCGCGATTCGATCGTTGCAACAATTGGCCGAAGATGAAGACGAACAATTTCCGTTAGCATCAGAAGCGCTTTTAAACGATTTTTATGTAGACGATCTTCTTACGGGCGCACAAACGTTTGAGAAAACGATTGAACTTCGTGAACAATTAATCCGTCTTACGGCATTAGGTAATTTTCATTTACGCTAGTGGTCGTCGAATGATCCTAAATTGCTAGATGATTTGTCAAATCGATGTTTCGAAAAGTCGCATCTATTGGATTCAAATACAGTGGTGAAAACGCTGGGAATTTTTTGGAATTCGTTAAATGACACGATCACATACAGCGTAAATATTGACAAGACACAATCTCACGTTACTAAAAGATTCATTTTATCAAAGATCGCTCAATTGTTCGATCCTCTAGGTTTGTTAGGGCCCGTTATTTCAAGGGCCAAAATTATTATGCAGGATCTTTGGAAGACTCGTATAACGTGGGATGAGTCAGTGCCGCAATCTATTCATTTCGTATGGAATGAGTTTCAAAATCAGTTGCCTTTACTGACACAATTTGAAGTACCACGAAATATCAGTTCTCATCTTGCGTAAGATATCCAACTTCACGGGTTTTGTGATGCCAGTGAAAGAGCATATGGCGCATGTATCTATATTCGATCGTGCAATTCGTGTGGAGAAGTTCTGATTCGTTTGTTGGTTTCTAAATCGCGGGTCGCACCTATAAAATCTGTGTCGATTCCGCGTCTGGAACTTTGTGCAGCTGCGTTGTTGTCCAAATTATATCATAAGGTCAAAGAGTCGATACGGCTCAATTTTACAAAAATCAAATTATGGACCGATTCAACAATTACGGTATGTTGGATAAACACATCACCCCATTTGCTTAAAACGTTTGTTGCTAACCGCGTATCTACTATTCAATCACATTCGCAGCCTCAGGAATGGTCTCATGTGAAATCTCTAGAGAACCCGGCGGATGCCATTTCACGAGGTCAAACGCCTGCCGACTTCTTGAAAAATCAATTATGGTTAAACGGGTCATTATGGCTATACCAAACAGAAAACACATGGCCTCTATTAGAACACCTTCCGATCGTTACTTCAGAATTACGCAAATGTGTCGTTCTTAAAACTACACGCGACGATAGTATATTTGAACGTTTCTCATCCTGGAACAAATTAAAACGAGTAATAGCATATTGATTACGATTTTTTGAAATTAGTTCAAGGCGGTGCCATCAAGGGAATTTTTTAACCGTAGACGAATTAAAGAAAGCACACGATCGTATCATCAATTGCATTCAGGTCCAACATTTCAACAAGGAAATGGACTGTTTAAACTCAAATAAACCTCTTGACAGGAGCAGTACGGTTTTGTGTCTAAATCCATTTATAGACTCTACTGGTCTACTGAGGGTAGGTGGTAGATTAAAACATGCAAATTTGGATTTTCAACAGAAACATCCTATTCTTATTCCCCGTGCACATCATGTTACAAAACTGATTATTCAACATTATCATATTCAAACATTTCACGGTGGTTTGCAGTCCACTGTAAATGCGATACGCCAGAAGTATTGGCCTATTGATTGCAAAAATACCACGCGGCACCTGATCCGAAAATGCGTTACCTGCGTCCGAGCGCGACCCTCAAATGTAAATTATATTATGGGTAATTTACCAGAAACTCGAGTCATAGAATCTAGGCCATTCAAGATTGTCGGGATAGATTTCTGTGGCCCTTTATTTATAAAGGAACGAAAATTCCGAATCCGTTCTAAGATTAAGGTATACGTTGCCGTATTTGTTTGTTTCGTCACAAAGGCTGCACACTTGGAACTTGTTAGTGATTTAACAACAGAGTCGTTCCTCGCCAGTTTGAAACGATTTTTTGCACGTCGAGGTAAATCTCGACATATTTATTCTGATAATGCAACCAATTTTATCGGAGCAAGAAATGAGTTACATCAAATTCAAAACTTTATAACCTCTACGAGGGATAATGAGAATATCACGAGTTATTTGGGGTCTGAAGGTATTTCCTGGCATTTTCCCCCTCCACGATCACCACATTTCGGAGGTCTATGGGAGGCATTAGTGAAGTCTTTTAAGCATCATTTGATTCGAACAGTTGGCCATCAATTATTTACATACGAACAATTAAATACGTACATAATTGAGATTGAAGCAATATTAAACTCACATCCATTGACTCCGATTTCTTCTGATCCTAACGACACCATCGCCCTTACTCCTGCACATCTTTTAATAGGCGATTCGTTAATGAGCGTGCCAGAGACTGATTTTCATCAGGTTCCTAGCAATAGATTGTCTGTTTGGCAACATATACAAAAGGTCAAGCAACATTTTTGGACACGTTGGCACAAGGAATACATCAACCAACTGAGCACACGCAGCAAATGGAGGTCGCCCGGAGAACAACCAAAAATTGGAGATTTGGTGATACTCAAGGAGGACAATGTACCATCGTTGAAATGGACATTGGGTCGGATCGTGGATTTACATCCAGGTGACGATGGAATTATCAGAGTCGTCACCGTGAAGACGACAGGTGGTACTTATAAACGAAGTACCACACGTTTGTGTCATTTACCTGTCATGATTTAAAAATCTCGTGTCAATATTTTTTTTGTTGTTGTTTGGTTATTTTACTAATTATGCTAAGGATAAGGGTAATTCTTATTTTTTTTACAAAATATAATATGATAATTGTATTGTTTTACTATTCTATTTTTTCTTATGCTTCGTGTATGTAAGTTTGGACGATTCCTGTCTTTTTATTTTTATTTTTTTTTACATAACAAATAATTAAATTCATGTAGATATTAATTTTTCTTTTTATTATTATTTTTTTTGTTAGATCTACGACAAAGATTAATCTATGTATACTTGTGCTCATATTGTTCGGTATATGTATTTAAGGGTAATTTTTTTTTGTATTGAACGTAGCCGTTCAAGGGGGGCGGCATGTTGCGGCGCAGTGGTCATGGGGCCATCAGGTATATTTTTGATTGTTTTTTTTTTCTCTTCAAACAAGCAATAGTTGCCTTCTGCAGCTGTGTGCCATATGCAATCATCGCCTAAAACTTTCTTTAGTTTACCATGTTTTTCGAATTCCTGCTGGGTTTATGGTTTTATTGTTGTCGAACCGTTGGGTGGACAGGCGATGTCATATTTCTTGGCTCAGGTCAGACTCGACCTGAGAACGAGCGTTTGGCAGGGGCGGTTCTTGACCACTTCCCTGAATTTTCTTTTAACCAATCAAAATTTGTGACTCTAGCAAATTCGCTTGTCCACCCCTGCGACATGTCAATCCCCACCAGACACTCAAAATTTTCTTCGTGAACGTTTCTTCTTGTACGTAAGCTTTTTAGTTGTCAACTCTCGACAAGTACAATTCGGAGAGTCTGTTACCGTTCACGAGGTGTTTGAAATTTATACAAGGACAAATATTTGTCCTTTAATAAACAAGATATATTAATCCTTTATCAGTTGTTCTGTTATTCTTTTTGAACGAGTGGTTTCACTGATCCACACCCAAACTAGCTCGCGTTTGCATTAAGTTGAAGCGCGAAGCACATACAGGAGGTGATTGAACACCTTCTGAAATAAATATTTTTCATTGAAAGATACAAATCTTACCTTTGCCTTCTTTCCTGACAAACGTAATTTCCTCATTGAGGATCGCGGGAAGGTCAACATGTTGTACATCGTTGAATTTGTTTTCTTATGAACTATA